ATATATATATATATATATATATATATATATATATATAACCAATAGGAGACTACACCAAACGTATAGAAATGAGTGATTTCTACAAGTAAATATATTGAAAAACTAACGTACAACAAACATGTTCTTAATTTCTGCAAACGGAGAAATAATATGGTTTTTGGAGTTATTCTTCAACAAAAAAAACCATGGGGAACCGTAGAGCGTCAGTTTGTTCCGTCATGTGGTGAGAAAAGTTTTGGCATTACTTGTATACCAAATTCGTGTACAATTTTAGCATCTTTCTTGTGCAGACTGATTGTTGGTGAATGTGATAATGAAGATGAATATCCATAAAAAAATTTATTTGTTTGTAAAGCAACGACTTTAGATTGCAAATCGTTACTGTTTCCAATCTTTAAATACACTGCATTAAAGTTTGCTATGGTGGTTATGAGTTGGAAGTCGTTGCATTTCAAGATCATTTGATTATCATACGCACTGTCATCGTAAGACTTTATCTCTATTATATTTTAGGTATATTATTTTATTACTTATATGTTATTTTCTTTGTAGTGATTTGTTTAAGGATCAGGTGGACTATGATTACTCCCACCTAAAATTGTTTGTCTCTAATACATGGGAATGGAGGGAGCTTCGTAATATCTGGTTACCATCTTCTGTTTATCCTGTTTCGGATAAGGCAATTATAAGTGGATGTGTGGTTTACTTCTTATTGTCTAACTATGACATTTTGCGATTTGATGTATATTCGGAAGAATATTTAGTGATATATGCACCTTCTATTACTAATGATATCAACTCTTATACATCGAGCCTTATCAAGTTTGATGGAAAATTGGGATATTTTTCTATAAGTGGAGATCGTTCGTGGGCTATTTGGGTTTTAATTCATAATCGGTGGGTTACATTAGATGTTACTAATTACAATGCCGGTGAAAATAAATGGTGAGATTATCGAAACAATCTCCTTTATTTCTTTAAAGGAAATACGATTCAGCATGTCATTCTGGCATATCATTTGCATGAAGTATTTTCATTTTGTTCAAATTTTGAGATAGTTACTATGGCAAGTAGAAATATGTGATTGTATTTATTTCAAATTGCATTTAAAAACCGTTGTTTTATTGCATGAAGATATTTTAATATATAATATTAGTTTATGATTGAATCTTTTGTTTCTTTTATTTATAGTTTTAATCTTTAAGTCATGTTTTATTTTGTTTTGTGATATTAATTTTTTTTAATATATGTATTCAAGAATTTAATAAATTCAATTTAAGAGTTCTGTAGACATTTGTATGTTTTTTATATGCATTTTCCACATTTAACGCAGGTCATAATCTAGTTATATTTGAGAGGTTTTTATTTGGACATGTTTTGTAGCAATAAAGTGGGCAATGGTGAATTCAAAATATTTTGGAAAAATATTCGGTTTGTTCGATTGATATATAAAGATAGATTTCCTTGAGTTTTTGTTTTGGAAACTAACAAGAATTGCTTCATAAAGGTGCAAAAACGTTATAAATGACAATTTAACATGTTTCGTTAAGATTGAGGTTTCTTGTAAAGGTTCCATAAAAGCACACTTTTTCAAATTTTGATTTACAAATACTTTTAATTTCGTTTTTGTGCCATAACACAAAAATCGCCTCTTTTGTACTAAAAATGCTCAAGTTATGTTTGAAAAAACCAAATAACCAGACTATAGAAATTCAAATTGGGTATACAATTGTTTAAAACCGAACTTAACCAAACAAAACCACAACTCATAAATCAAATTCAACAATAATTCTAAGGGTTTAATGCAAGAAATAGCAACATCATTGCTTTATCTATCGTAGCATTCTACTTTCATTTGCTTCTATTACAACATTATATTTTGAAAAACCTTACCATATTATAACAATGTCATCTAAATACAAAGCAACTTCCACCTTTATAATTGGACATATTATTCAAGATAATGCAAGAAAAAACAACATACTTTCATTGCTTTATTTATCATAGCATCCAAATACGTTGTAACAGAAAAAAAATGGAAGTAGGATGCTATAAATTCACAAATAAATAAAAGTATATTGCTATTTCTTTCATTTACCACAATATTGTAACCGAATTCATACCTAAAACCAAGGAAATATCAAGTACCCTAGATTTATATCAACGATATAACTCTATATTTGAATCTTTTAAAAAATATATAAAAAGAACTACTTATCGTCACTAGACTCAGACTCGATTTGACTTTTGTACCCTGAGCCAATGTCAAAAAATTCACGGGACATGAGAAAACATCCTCCTTCTTTCGGGCTGTAGTCTTTACCCCTCCATATAACTATTTGCTCTTTCTCAAATGTCACAAGGATGCACGGAACCAAATCCTATATATAACACAAAACAAGTTGTACCGCTTCATCAGACTGACTGACACGCGCATCAGACTAACTGACTGACATGCATCTAAGACTGATGTCAATAGGACAAAAATTGAGCTTTTTGTCCCACCTTAACAAATATTTTTTTTTTAAAAAAAGGCGGGAAAAACTTACCCTCAACTTGCATCCGATCTTAGTGTAATCTTTCTTTTCAAGACCCTTACAATCGATTCTTACCATCTCCTCCACGAGAAAGGCGTCTCTAATCATAGGAACAAGACCACCATAATATCCGTTTTTGGCTGCATTAACAACAATAAAAACAAGAAGGGGTTAAAAGTAAGAAATAGCAATGTACTTTCAATGATTTGTTTATTATAGCATCCTACTTTCGTTTCTTCCTATTACAGCATTCTACTTTAAAAAAAATTCCCAGTTATAGCAATGTCATCCAAATACAAAGCAACTTTTACACTTTCACTGATATAATAACAAAAAAAATTAAAGTATAATGCTATAATCGGAGTGATTTTCCAAATTAAGAAAGAAAAAAAATGAAATTACAATGTTGTAATTGTAATAGAAAGAAATGAAAGTAGGATGCTATAATACACAAATATACAAAAGTACATTGCTATTTCTTGCATTTATTCCTAAAAACAATTATCAATAACAGTGATAATAACAATTATTACGTAGCTCTGATAATTGAAGCTTAAGAAATTACCGAGTTTTGTGAGGGCAGGAACAGCTAAACCTTTCTTCCTCATTTCTTTTGTTTCCTCAATACTTAGACCTTCAATGGTAGTTTTTATAAGCTTTGGATAAATCGGCTCTTGGGGCTTCCATAACATTAATGGAATTATTGGCCTCTTTTTAGGGTTATAATTTCTTCCTCTGTATAATACAAGCGAACCACCATGTCTATGTATGATCTTACCAAATGCTTTATCCTTGATAAATATATGGGAAATTGTAAATGAGGGCAAATTTGTAATAAGTAATGAGTTAATGGAGTAAGCTGATTAAGTCATGTCCCCATTAAATCTATTAAGTCAAAAATAAAGAGTATCTTACCTCTAACTGTGAGCAAACATTTTTCATATCAACAGTTGGTACACCCATACACTTGATCCTAACTGCTTCAGCATGTTTCCAGTTATTATGAATGTCATTCAGCATGTTGTGTGTTAATCCATCTCTTCCTACAAATCCACAGAAGATATAAACATATGTTATCTACTTATCACCAAGAAGAAAATTAGAAAGAGAAAAAAATGAGAGTAATTTGACACAGGACACTTGAATGAATCATAATATCTCAATTTACTCTCACATGTTCATGTTCATCAATTTGCCATAATAATGGAAGAGAATGTCAAAAGAGTTGCCCAAATTGATGGTTTTATTGAACATGATAACATATTAACATAATCATATAAACCATCTTCAATCGCTTGAATGAATCATAAGAATCTCAATTTACTCTAATATGTTCATCAATTTGCAATAATAATGGAAGAATATGCGAAAGGAATTACCCAAATTGATTTGCCTTTTGGTTTTATGCTTCCCACATCTCTCCACTAACGCAATACGCTCAGCGTTCGTCAACTCTTCACCTTGAATCCTCTCTCTAATCTTCTTCCTCTTCTCTTCCAGTTTCTCCGTCTCCTCCTTCCCCGCCATAGGATCGATAGCAGGAGCGCATACACCCGTCCACTCACGATCAACCCTCTCCGGTCCAAACGGCGAGTATTTTGGCTCACGGAGACCGATAGGTCTCACTGCAGGATTGCTCTCGGTGTAACTGAACCGGAAATCGAACGGGAGGTCGGACTTTATAGGTTTATCGCCGGACCTGTCTAGAGAAGACGGAGGACGATAGGGAGGCTTCTTTTTCTTCTTGTTGTTGCTGTTGTTGTTATCGGCATGTTGTATTTGGTTGTTAGGGTTTTTATCAAGTGATGGAGGCGGAGTAAAGGAATATTTAGTGTAAAGGTTTGAAAAACTAGGAGAGGTAGGAGGAATGGAGGTGGTGGAGAAGAGGCGGCGAGAGGAGCTACGACGGAGGAGGAATATGAACATTTCTAGTTCACACTCAGGCTCCACCGTTATGACAGGTCGCCGGAGGGCGTAGGAGGGACGGAGATCGTCACCGGAGGATAGAGCCAACGGTGGTGTTTGGAATTTGGATTGTACAGTATTTTTTTATATTTTAAATTTAAAATTAAATTTAAAATGAAGTTTCTAAATTCTTTTAAAAATGCCCTTCAATTTTATATGGTTTTTCATTTAAGAACTTTTAAGTTTTGTCCCACTTGTATAAGTCGTGTTAACTTTTAAAGTTTTGTGAACTCTTGCATTCAAATACAAGTGTTGAGATCTTTGTTTACAAGACACTTATCCTCTTCTAGATAATGATCTTTCATGAAATCCATAAGTGGAAACTATTAATGTATGATGCTATTATATAAAAAATATAATAAATTTTTATTTTTTTATGTATTATAACATCTTATTTACATTCTTTTATTTGAAAACTATGACCATTGACCAAAGGATGTGTAATCTATTTTTTTTCTTATTAGAACCATATTTTATAAATATCTACCTAATTATAACTATAAAAGTTGTATTTTTGATGATAATATTATAATCGGTATATTTTACAAACTAGTAATAAGAAAAATGAAAATAAGTTGCTATAATATATATAAAAAAAATTCATTTGAATATATATTGCATAGATTTTTATAATGTACTAGGAAAAAAGATATGATACTTTAGTAACTTTTTCTTATAAAATCACTATATTTTGAAAAAACTGCAAAATAGAACAATAAAAATTGTTTTGTGATCGGAAGACATTATTATAACGGCTACATTTTATAGAAAAACTTGTTACATCAAAGTTAATTCTAACATGGACAATTCCTTTGGAATGCTTAATTTCTAAATCATCACCACTAAATGACTGATATAATAACGTTTAGATTTTTATAACGTTGTAATAGGGAAAAAAAAAAGCAATACTAGAGTTCAGATATAATATTTCTTTCAGCATTACAGAAGAACAGGAAAATCTTGATTGTCAAATTAAATCGGGACCCACAATCACATTTTTGTTTTTAAGCAAATTTTTAAATAGCCTAGATAAATAGGACATTTCTTTTCTAACACAACAAAAGAACAAGAAATCTTAGATATCTTTCTTTAAGGTTTCCCAATTGAAACCCCTACTCAACTCATTTATTAACTCGCTATTTATGATGCTTATGAAACTTATGTTTTCATGATATGCTATTGTTCTAAAATTTTATAACTCGTTAACATGAACATTCTTTCTCTTTATTGTTTTCTAGTTTTTCTCTTCACAAGAGGTCACTTGCTACAAGTTAATGGAGAAACAAAGGTGATTTCCTTTAAAATTTTAAACATATATATATACATTTTTGCTAATATTTTACACATTATATTGTAATCGATAAATATTACCCACAGGATTTTTACATTGTGTTCTTGAGTGATCAATTAACTAACAAGGAATCCAAGGCAAGAACACACATCAACATCCTTTCGGAATTAAAAGGAAGGTAATAATCGGTAAATTCGTAAATCCAGTTTCACGAGTCAAAAACATTTTCTTTGTAAAATTGAAGTTTCAGAGGTTTTATACTCACAACATTTAAGTCTTGTTTATTACATAGAACATAACAACTTTATAATGCTAATGTCAATAGAACAAACAGTTATACTTTTTTTGTCCCATCAAAATAAGAAAATGAGACAAAGACTTGTTTTTTAATCTATTGGATGTTAAAAAGACATAAAACCTTTATTATCATACATGTTTTGACATATAGTGAGCTCGAAGCAAAGGAATCCCATGTCTATAGCTATACGAAAAGCTTTAACGCGTTTGCAGCAAAGCTCTCGGGTTCTGAAGCCAAAGAGTTGTCGGGTAACTTCCTAACCCTACCCATCCCCACCCCACCATGTATTTGTCAATGTTGTTTGTAAAGTTTTTTTTTGTTTTGTTTTTTAAGGTATGGAAGGCGTACAATCTGTTATTGTTAATCAATATCGCAAACTACATACAACAAGATCATGGGATTTTTTAGGGTTTCCTAAAACGGCAAGAAGGAAGAAGACTGAGAGCAATATTATTGTCGGTGTTATGGATACAGGTTTATATAATTTGGTTTATACAATTTTTTAAAAATTTGTGTTACTAGTTTAAGCTTGTTTTTTATAAAATAAAAATAAAAAAAAGTTTTGGTTTTTAAATTATAGGAATAACCCCACAATCGGACAGCTTTAACGATGAAGGATTTGGCCCTCCACCAGCAAAATGGAAAGGATCTTGTCATCATTTTGCTAATTTTTCGGGATGCAATAAGTACGTTACTTAAATTCATATGTTGGGATGTTAACATAGCCCCTTTTTCACACAATAAACAGATTTAAAATGATAAAAAAATATATGTTAAATATATGTTTTTCGAAATGTACCACTCAAAAACTATTAAACACACTAAATAGCAAGATGCTCATGGTTGTTGTGGTACAGTTCTTCGAAGTGCATAACTAATTTTGATATGAGCAATTTAAAGGAAATAGTAACGTAATTTACTCTTTTTACAAATATAGGCAATGCACTTTATTTTTTACCGATAATGGCAATGTATTTACATTTCTTTATATATAATAACAAAGGTATTTGCAGTTTTTAACCATAACAGTGATTTGAACCCATAATAGCAACGTGTTTATATTTATTTACATATAGTAGCAATTTGCTTACAATTCCTTAACCATAATAGCAACAAACTTACATTACTTTACCAAACGATGACAATATTAGCAAACAAAGTATATGGCTGATATTGGTAGTGATGTAACAACATTGCGCCGTTATGGTTAAAAAAATTACAAGTACATTGTTATTACAAGAAAAAAAAAATATGTTGGTAGAAAAACATGATTATTGTTGATATGGGCATTAAATGAAGTACTTGGCTTACATTGCAATTTTCCCTTTTTAATATATTAAAGATTATGTTATTAAAGTGTGGTATGAATTCAAGCACCAAAAATTTATGTTATTTTCCCTTTTAATAGAAAGCTTATAGGCGCAAAGTATTTCAAGCTAGATGGGAATCCTGACCCGAATGACATACTTTCACCCGTGGACACTGACGGCCATGGGACCCACACATCATCAACTGCAGTCGGGGGCATGGTCCAGGATGCGGAACTATTTGGTTTAGCCAAAGGCACAGCTCGTGGAGCAGTGCCATCGGCTCGAGTCGCGATGTATAAGGTTTGTTGGGCTAGCTCGGGTTGCTCAGATATGGATTTGTTAGCGGGGTTTGATGCCGCCATTCATGATGGAGTTGATATTATATCAATTTCGATTGGTGGTTTAACAGGTATTGTAACTCCCCAAGCCTAAGGTAGTGTTTTAGTATGAAAAAAAAAGGGTTTTGTTTTTACTGATGAAATAGAATTAGACCATTCATGAAAGAATTTGATTCGTTCCATTTTCTTATTTTTCAATCTGAAGGCAAAGTTTGTTTTAAATGAAAAATGGTAAACATAACTTACTATAACTTACTTTTATTTATAGAAGTTTGAGTTAGATTACATTTTTTGTCCACGTTATAGCTGATTTTCGCAAATTTTGTTCCCCGAAAGATTTCGTTTGTAATTTACTCCAAAAGATATACCGCCACAAAATAAATTATCAAGAAATCTATAATTTTAATTAAATCATAGTTTCATTTCATAATAATAACTAGAAAATAATTTATTTTATTATACTTTTATTTGTATTTTAACAAGCGTTAGTACCGTATGGGCTAGACCGTCGACATCTACCTCCACGTTACTCTATTTTAATAGAATTCTGGAGGTTTCTTTTGTTGCAGTTTAACAAGCTTTTATTATTTTAATTCTTCTAATTTTGTAAATAACAAACCCAATAATCATAGTCAACTAATATAATAGAACATTTTTAAACAGACACCTTGTAAAATAAATCATGCGTAACCAAACATAATTATCACCCGTTCAATTGGTTTTCTCTATTACCTTGTCATTCCATCCTATCTAGATCAAATTAAAAGCACGGTGGATGATGTTATTGGTAGCACACAACTCAAGTAAATTAAAGAAATGGTCTTCATAGTTTGGTGAAATTAAAAGGTTCAGCCTAATTTTAATTTGTCTTACATAAGCCATGATCATGGTTTTATTATAGGTGCATACACCAATGACACAATATCTGTGGCATCATTCCACGCCATGAATCATGGGATTCTCACAATTGCATCGGCCGGAAACGACGGACCAAGTTTAGGCAGTGTGGCGAACCACGCACCATGGCTTTTGACCGTGGCCGCTAGCGGCATTGACCGAAGGTTTCAAAGCAAAGTTGTATTAGGCAATGGGAAGACTTTAACCGTAAGTTCTTGAAAAAAACACTAGAATTTCAAGATTTTAAGATTCCACTAGGGCTCTTAATGAAATTCATTGTGTTTATAGGGAATTGGGATAAATGGTTTTGAGCCGAAACAACAGTTTTACCCGATAACAAGTGGGAATGATGTGGCAATTGATATCGAAAGTAAGGAAAGTGCGGGGTATTGTCTTGAAGATACATTGGACGCAAGTAAAGTGAAGGGGAAGCTTGTGCAATGTAAGCTTGGGACTTGGGGTTCGGATTCGGTTATTAAAGGATTAGGAGGAATTGGGGCGATTATTGAAAGTGAAGTGTTTTTAGATACGGCTCAAATTTTTATGGCACCAGCGACCATGGTGAATTCCGTGGTTGGTGAAAATATAAGGAATTATATACATTCGACAAGGTAAAAACACATATCATTAAGTAAAGCCACATTTGTTACACAAAACCAAATATATTGTATTGTGTTTAGCATGTATCGGACATAGACTGAGAGTTTGGAACCGATGTAAAAAAAAATCACAATTTTCTATCCCACCCAAAATGGTGGGACAGGTCTGGACTCATGTGAATGAGACAAAACTTTACAACTTTTTTGTCTCATGCATCCATAAAGGTGTGATGGTCTAGAACCAATGTCAATGAGACATATTGTAATTTTATGTCTCAACCAAAAAGATGTCTAATTTTTGTCCTATCCAAAAAGGTAGGATTTTAGGACTGATTTCAATGGCACAAAAATTGTATTTTTGTCCCAACCAAAAAGGTAAGACAGAGACTCGTACTCAATATTTCATATGTACAAAAGACAGAAATGCTCTTCTCATCCGCATTATTAAAAATAAACCTAGATTAAATCATGTAAACTAACAATTCAGGTTTTCTAAAATGTAGATCACCATCTGCAGTAATACACAAGTCTGAAGAAGTAAACATTTCAGCTCCTTTCATTGCTACATTTTCATCAAGGGGTCCAAATCCAGGAACAAAACATATACTAAAGGTACAAAAAAACTATAAACATCATTCTCATATACATTTATAATTAACTAAAATATTTCACAACTCACAAGTCTTTTATAATTTTATAAAAACAGCCAGATATCGCGGCGCCAGGTGTCGACATCTTAGCATCATACACCCCTCTACAAACACTAACAGGACTAAAAGGAGACACACAATTCTCAAAATTTACCATAATGTCTGGAACATCTATGGCTTGTCCACATGTTTCAGGGACAGCTGCCTATGTTAAATCGTTTCATCCAAATTGGTCCCCTGCTGCTATAAAATCAGCTATTATGACTTCTGGTAAATTCTCACTAAAACTGTAAATAACTAGACTTATATATATAATATTACAAATAAAGAGCTTAAAAAACAAGAGTTAAATCACAATGAGCTTACCTTTTTTTCAATGGTTTACATGATAAAAGCAAGACCAATGAGCTCAAAAGTCAACCAAGAAGCTGAGTTCGCATATGGTGTCGGTCAACTAAACCCTAGAAGAGCCATAAACCCAGGGTTAATCTATGACATGGACAACATGTCATACGTACAATTTCTATGCCATGAGGGATACGATGGATCATCAATCGCATCTTTAATTAATTCCAAATCAAAAATCAATTGTGCTTCATTGATTCCACCTCTTATTAGTGAAGATGCCATCAACTACCCTTCCATGCAACTTACTTTAAAGAACAAGAAAGGGGTCACTACAGGGGTATTTCGGAGAATTGTGACTAATGTAGGGCATGCTATGTCTATTTACAATGCCACTATTAGAGTGCCTAAAGGAGTGAACATAACTGTGGAACCAATGACTCTGTTTTTCTCACATATCTTACAAAGGAGAAGCTTTAAAGTTACAGTGAATGCATACCCTAATGTTAAAAAGCTATTGGTTTCAGGGTCATTGATTTGGAGAAGTTGTTGTCATGTTGTGAGGAGTCCAATTGTTGTTTATGATCCACAAGATTAGTGATTTGTGATGCATTCAGAGTAAATAAAGTTTCGATGTTGATTTCTTGATGTTTTATGTCTAATTGATGTTGTAGATTCTTCTAGGCATTTTATCGAACACCTTATGTTCATAAGCAAGGCATGTTGTGTATAACTAATGATCAAATGCATAATAGTTATATTATACCATCAAGAACTTGAAACAAGTGCCATTAACGAAATATAACCCCAAATGGGTTATAAATGCAAAACAACTATTTGTCATGTTCAATCATATGCAGGCATGTAGTTGGGGAAATGTTCAACATAACGGGTACAAAAAAAATACCAATAACACGTAATGATATTGAAAATCTTCCAAAGAAAAACAAACTCAAACCTGGTTCATGTAGTTTAAATTAGGTTTTATAAGCTAATAAGCTTTTCTTCTTGGACATGGAGAGCCTGCGATTAAGAGGCATACACGATGTTTGTCATTGAGCCAACATTTTCAATGTTGACACCAATTGTACAATTTTCCTCTCTCGATCAAGTTTATTGAAGTCTTTGACTTTTTTCTATATAAGGTTTAATGCATACAGTTGGAAAAAATGGGAATTTCCATTTTCCAAAAATGGGCTTTTTTTAACACGAATTCGAAACTTTGTATTATTAAAATGGATAAAATGTTATATATATATATAGGGTTAGGTTCATGTGAGACAGCCTAATTTTGTGAGACCGTGAGGCCACTTTTTTCTAGTGAAATATTCTAATATTCTAGTATTCATAAAAAATTAAATATGTGTAATATTCTAATATTTTAAAACAATAATGTAACACTCATAAAAATCATGTCAAATTTAAACTTTCTAAAACATTTCAAAACCAATTGATTATTACAAAACTTGTTTTCAAAATAGTTCAGTGTCAGAGTATCCCATAATCAAATCATAAAACCATAGGAGGTGTACGGTCACGCTTTCTCCTTCCCGCGATCGTCAGAAGTACCTGAAACAAAATCAATAACTGTAAGTCCGAAGCTTAGTGAGTTCCCCCAAAATACCAACGCCATACAGATATAACCATATCATATAAACAAACACAACATGCATAATGAGCCATCAGTTTGACTGGACCGCCTCACAGGTCATCAGTCTATCTGGACCGCTCTCCGAGCCATCGGCACTTCTGCACCGCCTCGCAGGGCCTTCAGCCTATCTGGCCCCCTCGTCGGGCCTTCGGCCTGACTAGTGCGCCCTAACCGGGTCTGCAGTCTATCAGGTCTGCCCTGGGTATCTTGGCCTACAGCACAAAGCAGGACCTGCCTCAACCCAATCCCCAACCCAACAAACATGTGCACATAAATA